CTGCCGCTGAGCTACGCCGTAGTCGCCTCGTGAAAATCGATGCGAAACAAACAATGGTCACATTGATCGGCCTTATCTTCAAGAGCTTCAAGAGCGCCGAAATGTGTTCACACATGATCGCCTCCTTGATCATCTGTCGTCGCGTCACACTGAAAATAGCGCTCTTACTTCTGGTGGCAATCTGCCTGTGGACGCGTTATCAGCTACCGAGCACCAGTAGCGACAGTCAATCTGCCTCAACTACTCGGTGCCGCTGCCAGCAGCAGCAGCAGCAGCCATCACACCACCGGTCTTATCAGCTAAACAAAACGAACACCAGTGCAAGGAAGGTCTTGATCATCTCCGAGGCCCGCAGTGGTTCCTCCTTCCTAGGTCTAGATTTCCTTCTTGATTTTGTCAATTCTGTTTGAAGTAACCGGTTATTTAAAAAAATAATATCATTTTAAAACAGGCGACCTGTTACAACAGGCTTCCACTACCTACTACTGCTTTGAGCCGCTGATAGGCATCGAGCCAAATTCGCCACTGTATGAGTCGCTTATCTTCGACATCTTCAACTGCCACTTTGACCAGCTAAATGAANATCATTTTAAAACAGGCGACCTGTTACAACAGGCTTCCACTACCTACTACTGCTTTGAGCCGCTGATAGGCATCGAGCCAAATTCGCCACTGTATGAGTCGCTTATCTTCGACATCTTCAACTGCCACTTTGACCAGCTAAATGAAACCTATCTGAAGCCTATTTACTGGAAGATTCAGTACTTCAAGTGGAACTCGGCGCTGACTGCGAGCACTGGCGGGCAGAATGCAGTGCAGCTTTTCAACCAGACGCTGCATCAAGTTCTCTGCGCACATGCTAACGTAATTCTCATCAAGACGATTCGTTTCACACTGGCCGACTACGTTCGAACTATTGGTCTCAGTGCAGGTACGGCTGGTTGTTGTTGTAAATGATATGCTAGTGATTTTTCTTTATCTGTTCAGACACGGAGAGGCAGCCGATCAAGGTGATCTACCTGGTGCGCGACCCTCGAGCGGTGATGAGCTCTCGTTATAGAATGATCTGGTGCCAACAGTCGGAGAACTGCACCAACAGTGAGGTGTTGTGCCAAAGAATGCGCCATAACATTGAAATGATGCAGCACATTCGAATAGATAGCAAACTGGCGCCCAACCTGGCGCTCCTTCGACATGAGGACCTTATAAACGACATCCTCCACTCGACCACTCGACTGCTGCAGTTCCTGCAGATGGACTCGCTGATGAACCGCCGTCTAGTGCAATGGATTCAAGAGCACACCTCAGTGGATGACGTCCTCGCCAATCCGCACTCTACGTACCGCAACATCAAGGGGTTAGCCTCTCAGTGGAAAACTGACCTTACGCCGGAAGAGCTGATGGAGATTGAAGGTAACTGCGGCGACGTCATGCGTCAGCTAGGCTACCGGCCTGTCTCGCGGAACCGGACAGTGGAGGAAGTGGTGGAGGAAGGGGAGGAGGAGGAGGACACACAGCAAATAGAAAATGCCGGAGGAGCCCCGGAAAACGACATCACCAGTGACTACCCGCTAAACGTGGTTTCCGTCTTGTGACGGAAACTGTTTTCAGGTTGAACAAACTCTATTCATGGTTGTTCACAGTTTTCTTTAGCATTGCTGTACGGCTACTGAGAGTAACTAGCTGTCGCGACGATAACTGCAAAAACGCTTCAAAGTGCCCCTAGGCACCAGAGCAAACGAGTTTATATTTGAAAACTCGCACTGCCACTTCTAATGGCACTACCAGCAGAATGAAGAGGAAGGCGCCGTGGTCGTACACTAATTGCCATCTAATCGCCAATTAATGTCTTCTTTAGCATCCTCAGTTGATTGGCATTTGCCGTCTGTCTGTCTTAACTAACATGGCTACTTTAATAAATGGTGCAATTAGCGGTGACGCGCAGGCGATCAGTGTTGCGATTAATGAACAAGAAGAAACATTTCTTCTGCTGAAAAAAAACTGCCTTGAGAAGCGGCGGCGGCGCACTTGAATTTCATTCGCCAATTGGCAATCGTCTATCTGCCGCCGCTGCCCATCAGCTGGCCACTGCAACAGCTTCCTCTCAATGTCAGTTCTCAATGAGCTTCAGTTGGACAGTGGCAACAGTTAGTTAGTTAGCTGTGCACAGTGGACACTTTAGACACTTAATACACTTAGACTAAATCTGTTTACACAAGCACCCAAAACCGACAAAATGAAGTTCTACCACGTGTTGACTATAAATCTGTTTTTGATTGCCTGTCGAGGTAAGTTTTTGAAGCTGTTTATTTATCAGAAACAGTGTTTTCTAAAACAGCTGTAATTTGTACAGGCCTGGTCAGCGATGCAACCATCGAAGAGGAGGACTGTGAAAATGAAGAGAAAGAAGTGGAAGTTTGCGCCACAGACTTCCTCATCTACCGCAACGGATCACTGCCGCAAAGTGGCCCTGAGCTGGACAAATTCTGCAGGTACCTCTTTTTTTGTTTCTGCAATTGTAGTTTGTTTATCTAACTTCACTATTTTTAAAGAGAGAGCAAGTCAAATGAAGGCTGTCTGAGGGCTCACTCAAAGAAGTGTCTCTCACACTCTGCCAACCAGGCCATCACCGAGTTGATTCGATCCATGTCCAAACAGAACCGGGTCATCTGCTCGAACAAGAACAACCGACGACTGTACGGAAAAACGACGCAGTGCATCAACAAACACCCGACCCCTAATGTCTGCTATCAGAAGTTTGTCGATGACGTCCACGGCATTCACCAGTTCGGACAGGAGGAGAAGATACCCGTCATCTGCTGGTAAGTTTGCAATAAGTAAACACAATAGAATGCTTTTAATCGAACCACATAATTCTGCCTTCCAGCTCCTATGTTGCCTTTTCAAGTTGTCTTCAAGAGCAGGTGAAGAGCTGCGGCACTGATTCAGTGAACGCAGTGAATCGACTAGTGCAGAACTATGCTGGAGAAACGTTAAACTACGTCTGTCGGGAGTACAAAGGGGCCAACAAGTGCAGCTCATCGAACAAGCCTGCTGTCGATCTGAGTCAAATCAATGAAGAAGTGCCCAAAAGTTTCTTTTCTCTGCTTGTGAAAATTTATCTCAGCTAGAGGCATAAAAATGTGTGTATTTTGAAATGCTTAAGCAAGTGGACAATAAAATGTAATAGATTGGTACAGATTTACTCGTGAAAAAATGATACAAGATGCTTGATAATGTATTTATTAAATCTCATTTAAATAATGTCAGTTAAATAAGTATAACTCCAACAAGTCGATATACACGCTTAAATCTAGACGACGGCCGTTTCCATTGCGTCATCTTCTGTTTTGATGACTACTTCATTCGTAGATCCATCTTCAATCTTTTCATACACAGTTGCCATTTCAATTATCTCATTATCATTCATCAGTTGATTGTCCACAAGACCCTATATGAAAACCAAAACAGATTACTCAAAATTGTTATCACCTTAAAATCCTTACCTTTTCATCTTCAGTGACCATCATTATTTCGCCATTTTGATTAACCGTAAGACTTTGAAGATCCTTTTGAAACAGTCCAACTTCTTTAGTCAGTGCATCTTTAACATCGTCTGCAATCTGAGTGCATTTGGTCAGGAGATGCAAGCGGAATTTGGTCACGTTCTTTGAGGAGTAAAGTTTTTCACAGTAGTTGCATTTGAAACACCGTCGTTCTAAAAGGTTACAATTTAAATGTTAAATGAAGAAGTGTTAAAAAAGATAATTACCGTCAACAAAAGTAACAGAAAAGTGCTTCCAAATAGGCACTTTAACTTGAGTCCACGTTTTGAGGGGGCTATCGAAAAAAGTGTTGTTGATTCGGTGGCGAATTGAAGTTGGAATCTTGTCACAGCGATCAAGAAGATGCTCACGACACTTTGTGGCATTCTTATTGGCATAGTTTATGCAGCAATAGATGCACTTGATCATCATTTTATCTTGATCTATATACAAGAAGAAAGGGTAAAAATGAGCACCTAAAAGGAAAGTTGTACGGTAGAAAAAACATACCCTCATCGTCAATGATGATATTAAAGTGTTCCCAAATTGTAGATCGCTTTGCATGGTTAACAGAATTTATGTAGTCCTGGCTGAAAGTAGATCGCATCTGATCGCGAACTTCAGCTTCAATCTCTGAGCACTTGAACGCCAGATGTTCACGACATTTAGTGGCATTGCGTGAAGAATATTCTACTCCTGATAACACAAATAACGAAAAACATTAATAATGATGTACTCAAACTTTGCTTTAAGGGTCTTACCACAAAAACTGCAAGTGATAACCGACTTGCCGTTTTTATCTTGTGTCAGGAAATAATTCCAAACATTGAAACGGGACTTTTGCTGAGAATCACTGTTGCTTTTTTTGCTGCTTGTTGATTGAGTTTTAGCCGCTAGCGGTGCCTTTTCGCACCGGTCATTGATGTGTTCCCGACATTTGTTAGAAGTCAAACTTTTATAAGAGAACTCTTGCTGGCAAAAGCTGCATTCAGCAATTTTGGCCCCTTCTTGGTCGCCTCGGACTATAAAGTGATCCCAGATGGCGGCTTTCTTTTCTGCAAAAAGGATAATGAAATTAAAATACATGGCATCGTGTTACTTGCATGAACTGGACGACGCAACAATGACAACAAAACATACCTGGCTCGTTGGTTGAGACAATCACAGCGCGTCGTTTATCATTACACAGTTCACTGTACTTGACGTTGTATTCCTCAATGACACCGACACAGAGCTGAATCTTCCGCTGGAGATCATCGGTTTCCTTCTTGTCTTGATCATTACACTCGCGGATCATTTCTAGGCGCAGAAAAAGCTCAATCAGCTTGCTCTGGTTTTGATGCAACACCTGCATCAGGTGAAATTTCTCCGACAGCAGTGACAGTTCATTCTTCAAAGCCTTATTCTCTTCAAGAAGATCCATTCCCGCGATTAATCAAAATGCATCAAAGTTCCTGAGAAACTGCTCTGAAAATCGGTGGCGAAAAAACTGCTCACTACTTTGCTCACACAGTGCAGTGCGCTGCTCTCTCTCTCTCTCTCTCTCACTTTCTACCCTGAAGATCAACGCAAACTCAGACTGAGCGTGTGAGCCTGCCTGTGCGTAAAATACGTTATCGCGGCCCATCAAAGAGAGCGTACAAAGTCGAGAAAAATAAACACGAGAGAGAGAGAGATTTGGGGAAAAATGATTTATTAAACGGGTACAATGCTGAAACAATAACAAGCTATTCATAGGGGTGAAATAAGTAGAAGTGTACAGAATGGCCAATTGAAGCCAATTGGTCCATCACTGGGCCGAATAGTTGATGCAATTGGAAAAGGTAGCTAGGGTTTAAATTGTAATAATATTTCATTTTTCAACTAGTAATGTTTTGTAAACTTAAAAGCCTAGTGGCCGCGGTAATAAATAAATTAGTTGGTGAATAACTTAGAGCAGGGCCTTGATTTCATCGTACAAGACCAGCACAAAAGCGCCACCCATTCCACGGAAGACGTTGGAAAGAGCGCCCTTGAAGAAGGCCTTGGAGCCCTCAGTCTTGGCAATGGTGGCCCAGCAGTGAACAGTGCTCTTGTACATGCGCTCGTTAACGGGCAGACCAGACTGCATCATCATTCGTCGACGGACAGTGTCGAAGGGATAAGAGACGATACCAGAGACGGTGGTCACTGTCTGGGCGATCAGCCATGAGATGACGAGTGGAGTGTTCTTCGGGTCAGGCAGCATGCCCTTGGCAGTGTCGAAGCAACCGAAGTAGGCAGCGCGGTAGATGATGATACCTGGAGGAGAATGGCGGAAAAGGTCATTAGGACACGTAGGTTAAACATAAAGAGAGCGAAACCGTACCTTGCACTGAGACATTGAATCCTCGGTAGAGACCGATGAGACCGTCGCTCTTGAACACCTTGGTCAGACAGTCAGCCAGACCGTTGTACTGGCGTTGACCGGTCTTGCCGATATCGGCAGCCAGACGAGTACGAGCAAAGTCAAGTGGGTAGACGAAGCACAGCGAGGTGGCTCCGGCAGCACCACCCGAGGCCAGATTGCCAGCAAAGTAGCGCCAGAACTGGGTCTTCTTGTCGACATTGTTCAGGAAGATCTGCTTGAACTTGTCCTTGAAGGCAAAGTTCAACGCCTGCGTGGGGAAGTATCGGATCACATTGGCCAAGTTGCCTCGCCAGAAAGAGACTAGACCCTGCTCCTTGGGGATTCGGACGAAGGCATCGATGATACCTGAAGAAAGATGAGACGGTTATTAGCAAAAAAGAGGCAAAAGGTGATGGGCAACATGGTTTTTATACCTTTGTAGCGCTGGTCCTCGGTAATCTGCTTGGAGGCATGTTGAACCTGCAGCAGCAGCTTGACTCGCTCAATGGGAGCTACGGCGGTCTTGGAGATAGCGGCGGAGATACCGCCGGCAAGGAAGTCCTTGGCGAATGAGGTGGCGTCGAAAGGCATCTTCTGAGATTAGAGAAGAGTGGCGATGGGTTTGCACAGAGTCGGCCGAGATACTGAGAGTGTGGTGGCAATCTGGTGCTCAGCGGTGGGCGATTCGAAGGCGAATGAGCTGCCGAGCATGTGAAGCGACTGGATAGTGCCGGTTTAAGGTCGACTAGCGTTTTGAAAGGTCTCCCGAGCGCCTTTCAAAATGCCCTCAGCCAGTGGAGGCAGTCGCTGCCAAAGTACAGCTCACTGCTACCGTTCACTCGCCAGCTCCGCCTCCTTTGCACATTTCGAAACGCCAAAAGAGCGCCCGCTTTACAGACTGCCAGTTTCGCTGTGAGTAGGCGCGCGCCAGAGTAGACGGATTGTTGTTTTGATGGGCAGTTTCTTTTTACAATCGTCAAATCGTTACCCACTTCAGCATTTCAAATGAAAATAAAAGATGATACGGTTAGTTTTGAAGCCATCATCACAAGCAACTAACATTTACTTTTTCCTTTAGGCAGCCGTCAGGCAGCTAATTGAGCTGGTTGCGCAAAACTTTGAAATCATTTCCGTTCCACCGCAGTTGATCTACCACTGTCAATCCCAATTACGACTCACTGACCGGTCTCAGATTGAAGAGGTAGTGTTCCCTCCCCTGAGATGTTCCCATTGTCTTTATCTTCTCTGAAACCTCTTTTAGCTAGTTATCGCTCTCAGTAAATGGCTGAAGGGGGCTCCGGGGAGCAGTCAGATTAAGGAGCAAATTGGAACGATCCTGGCAGGTGGTGCAGCAGACCGACCGGCGATACTAGAGTCGTTCAACCAGGCAATCGACCAGGAAGGCGGTAGAGTAAAGGCGGCTCTCGCCTTACGTACAGGTACACTAGCACTTCCGCACTATATACACAACCACAATTTGTGAACTCTAATTCATTCTGGCAGAGTGCTTCGCAGAGACACTGCTCTCCGCAACAAGGTGCGAACGCCTCTCTTCAACAGGCAAGGAGTTTGTGCTCGACTTGGAAGTGCAAACTGACCCGTGCAAAGGAAGGAAAGAGGGGGAGGAAGAGGTGGAAGAGGCAGCAGCAGCATCACTAACGCGTTCCTTTGTTCTAAGTGAAGAGCAGATAAGAGCTCTGCTTCAAGACATGGAGAAGATACGCGAGCAGCTGTTTCGATCAGTGTCTGCATCAGCCTGACAAGATATGTCTCCCATCGACGGCAGCAGCAGCAGCCAGCACTGCCGGATTATGGCACTGGCACGATGCCCTACTCGCGCAATGTACTCGCGGTGAATAAATCCGTCCTCCGTGTCTGAATTATGCGGTTAGGAGAGCAGATTTGAAATACCTCGCCGGTCGCGATTCTATTTATAATTCCCCAGCAGCTCCTGTGTTTTCCAGTGAGGTGCTGGAGTGCGGCCAGCAGCAGCACTGACGGGTAAATGTCGCTAAAGGGCGCCGTCATCATTGTGCCGTCATCGTCATCGTCATCATCATCATCATCATCATCTGTACCCGGTCTTGAATAAAGAGTGAAAGTGCTGATGATGATGGTTCTGGGTCAAGATCAACAGATGATCATGACGGTGGGGCGTTCGTGTGAGCGCGCGCGATTGCCACTGTACACCTTCGCCAGAGGTCAACAATCAACAGGCAGCTTTTGTAGAGGACTGGCAGCATGCAATAGCACGGTTTGCCAGGTCTTATCAGCAGCAGTGCTGCTGCTGCGATAACAGCAGTGCCGTACTGATCGCAACGATCACATTGCCATGGTTGACCAGCACCACGTGACTGGTGGTCAAAAGGTGGTGGTGTTGACTAGGCAGGGGAATACATGGCCGATATGAGTGGACTGTGGTGGCAGGTGTCTGTCAGCGATGAGTGCCCGTGTCAGCACCGTCTGCCTGTTTGACTGGTCGTCGGTGATGCCGACACCGGCACTGGCCATGCCTTGGCCATCTCTGCTCTGTTCTCCTCTCTCTGCCGATCATCAGTTCGCGCATGTCTCTGCCGGTGGTGCTCTTGGCTTGCCCTTGCCAACGTCAAATCGCCAGCACAGTTAAAAGCACTCGTCGACCACCCCGTCAGTACATTTCTCCTTCCCATCCTCTGCACCACACCAGCGTGCCACTTTGGAGGTACTGTGAGAGAGACTGTGCACAAAGAAAAAGTTCTCCGAGCACACTCTGTCCGCTCTGACCACTTGTTCTGCTGCTGCTCCCTTCCCTTCCTTCCTTTCCTTCCTTCCCTCCATTCCACTTCATTCCATTCTCTACCGGCACCCGCTTTTGCTAATTTTAGACACCTTTTCTTGCTCCCTGCCTCTAGCTAAGCTTACACCGGAAATCATGCCTTTCGACGCCACCTCATTCGCCAAGGACTTTATCGCCGGCGGTATCTCCGCCGCGGTCTCCAAAACCGCCGTAGCTCCGATCGAGCGAGTGAAGCTGTTGCTGCAGGTGCAACACGCCTCCAAGCAGATTGCCGAGGACCAGCGATACAAGGGTAAGTGTGCTCATGGCCAGTGGGGATGACGTACAGGTGCTAATGCCTCTTTCTCTTCTATGTACAGGTATCATCGATGCCTTTGTGCGAATTCCCAAAGAGCAGGGATTCATTTCTCTGTGGCGAGGCAACTTGGCCAATGTGATCCGATACTTCCCCACGCAGGCGTTGAACTTTGCCTTCAAGGACAAGTTCAAGCAGATTTTCCTGAACAATGTCGACAAGAAGACCCAGTTCTGGCGTTACTTTGCCGGTAACTTAGCTTCAGGTGGTGCTGCCGGAGCCACCTCGCTGTGCTTCGTCTACCCACTTGACTTTGCCCGTACTCGTCTGGCCGCCGACATCGGCACTGGCGGTCAACGCCAGTACAATGGCCTGGGCGACTGTCTGGTGAAGGTTTTCAAGAGCGACGGTCTCATCGGTCTCTACCGAGGATTTAACGTCTCAGTGCAAGGTAAAGTCTACCACTATTACGCTCTCAAAAACGCCTATTCTAAATGTGCATTTTTCCCTCTACAGGTATCATCATCTACCGTGCCGCATACTTTGGCTTCTTCGACACTGCCAAGGGTATGCTGCCAGACCCGAAGAACACTCCACTCGTCATCTCCTGGATGATTGCTCAAGCCGTGACCACCGTCTCTGGCATTATCTCGTATCCCTTCGACACTGTCCGTCGACGAATGATGATGCAGTCTGGTCTGCCCGCCAACGAGCGTATGTACAAGAACACCATCCACTGCTGGGGCACCATTGCCAAGACCGAGGGCTCCAAGGCCTTCTTCAAGGGCGCCCTCTCCAACGTCTTCCGCGGAATGGGTGGTGCTTTTGTGCTGGTCCTCTATGACGAAATCAAGGCTGTGCTTGTGTAAATGACAAGAAGGAAATGGCTAGAATTTTATAGATTTTTTTATAAAATCATAGGAAGAAACATCATCTCATTTAAATTATTTTCAAATTGAATTCAATTTAACGCACGTTAATAAAAAATTTATGAAATGGCTGATTTTATAAAAAAAAACATGATTAACTCTTGAAACTTTATTGTCTTTCTTTAAAGTAAAACTTGGCCTCATTCCAACGACTCTTCGAAAAGCGCATCGGCAATGACCACTTCTCAGTGACTGCAAGTGTAATGTGTGTAGGTACATTAGTGATCAAGTCAAGATTAGCGAACGCGTGTGCCTGTTTGGGTGCAACGTACCTATGGACTTTTGCAGTGGTGATGATTTGCTCTCGATTTGCTCAATCTGCGACTTGACAATGGTCTCTTCGATGTACGACTCGAGCAGTGCCGTCGACACTTCCTGCGTTAGAATGAGCATGTTGTCGTCATTTTTGAAGCAGCACACAATCAGCGTCGGAAAGAGAATCTGCATCAATGACGGCTCGCTAAAGTACTCAAAGGGCAGAGAGCACAGCTGCTGAACGACAGTTGGTCGCTGTCCAGACTGAAGTAAGGTCTACAGGAGAGTATTGTCAACATTGTTTGTTAGAACATTGTCGTAAAACAGTCTGACGACCTCAAAACCATTCTCTACCTGATTGTCAGTGTTGAGCACCACAAAGTTGCCAATCAGGAGGATGACCTCGTGCAACAGTTCGGCGTTGGCGAGATGGTGTGAGCAGTACCAGATGAGATAACTGCAGATGTGGCGAATTTGTAGCGAAAGCCCTTCGCCGCCCAGAATAGACTGCGGGTTAGAAAGTAGGCGAGTTATAAATGATGGCAAACAAAAAGATGTGTCAGGGAAAGATAAGTGAGGGAGCAAACATTCAGTGTGCTCATTCAAACCTGAATAAAGTTGATGTCGAGTAGGGCAATGTAGTTGAAGAATCGAATTGCCTCCAATGCCACTTTCAGTGTATAGTTCGGTACGACGACGGGCACAGTGTCGTTGCGAACTGGCGTGCCTGAGTGCAGCAGAAAGCCGTACAGCAGTGACACCGTCCCGCAAAGCTGATTCACGCGCAAGGTCAGCAGAAACTGGGTATCGTCTTCGGTCAATTTAATACCATACGATATGTCGTGTTGATTGCACGAGGGAAAAAGCGTTAGAAGTTTGCAAATTGCACTGAAAAGGACGATTATCTGCTTGACAAAGAGGCCATGCTGAGGCATGTCATTGGTTGAGCCGCGAATGCTGGATAGAATCATGGACAGCTTGTCGATCACTCCGAATATCACAAGGTAGCTACACAAAATGCAAAATATAGTTAGAAGAGAACAGTTTCATGTTGCATCTAATACTCACTTGATTATGTCTTTGACGTGCAGAATAAGTGTATCACATTCCTTTTGGACTTCCTTATTGTTTGAGCTGTAGTGCTGAAAAATGCCCTCAAATATGGCTGAAAAGAATTCACAAATGCTTCCCACCACAGGATCGTATGGAAAGTTTGTGTTAACATTAGAGCTGATGCACACCTGAAATTGAAAATGAAATGTTATACTTTTGCTCTTTAGCACTTGAAAAAAACTAACATTCAACCGGTGGTAGAGAATATCCAGCATAGAAATAATGTTGCTCGACTGCAGGAAAAAATGACAAATGGACCAACTTTGAGTGCAGAGGAGCTTGTAAAAGTTGGCCAACTTTGTGTTGGCACTATCGGTGAGTGATGTTGGCCTTTCATTCGTTCCATTCAATATGCGAGATAGCAGCTTGGTAAGTAGTGAAATGCCGTTGATTGAGTGAAAGTATTCAGTATGCTGTTGGTTCTTCTGGCAAAGTCGTTCTAAATCGGAAAGCATTCTCTCTACACTTCGCACCATGTTAGCCGACCACTGTCCACTGATTCGGTCATTCGCATGTAAAGTGCTCAACTCCTGAAAAAGTGTAATTTCGTAAGTCATTTAGGTTTATCTATTGGTTCAATCAAAAACAAACCTTGATGATTTTGGTAAATTTGCTTTTTACTTCCTTTGGAATCGCCGCAAATGAGTCCGCCGACTTTGATACGTACTTCTCCTCAAACAAACCAACTCGAGCGACAATCCTTTGCTTTAGTTTCTTTGACTTTTTCCGTGCCTGCTTCAACTTTTCACTATCACAGTCTTGGAATGATTTGAGATCAGTCATTGACGAGTCCGGATGCAGGGGAGCGTCAATGATGTTCTTCAAATTGTAGTTCTCCAGTTCTTCCACACTGGGCGTCTTGCCATCGTTTAGCTCCTTCACTGCATCATTGTGCTTTTTGCCTCGTAAATGGCCAAACAGGTACACCTCCGACTTGATGATCACCTTGCAGACGGCGCACATCTTGACGGTGTCATAGGGCACACAAACCAGAGCATCATCACTGACGCCCACCGATCTCACCGACAACTCGAGGGCCTTCTGCCGAATTTGCTCCATATTTTCTTCATGACGTCGCCTAAGAGGATGGTTTTTGTTACAAATCAACAATAACACAAAACACATTGCATCCTTACCGGCTCTCTTCCTGTTTCAGAATAATCTTCTTTTGCAGCTCTTCCTTCTCAGCAGCATGTAATGCGCTCAGTGCAGACAGCTTTGACTTGCGATCTAGCTCCTTTTGGAAAGCCAACTCTTGACGTTCTTTTTCTTTTTCCTGCTGTTGCTGCTCAATTTTCTGTACCTTAATCATTCGCTGTTCTTTCAGCTTTTCAATTCTTGCCTGCTTCTCTGATTCTAGCGCTTGTCTACGCTTCTCAAAAGCGGCCTCTTTGGACGCTTTTTCCTCCAACTTGCGCTGTCTTTCCTCTTGCAAGTCCTGTAGTCGCAATTCGTTGCCTTTTTCTTTCCTTGAAATCTCAAACTTCTTTGAGTCGGCCTCCATTGAGTTGATAAACAGTATCTCAGTCACTTTGGCGTCTTCATCATGAGCCTTTCGCACTATCTTGTTAATTTGTTCCTGTCGCTTCTCGTCTGCCCGCTGAAGACGCTTCTCCATAGACTCTTTGAGCTTGTTCTGCTGCTCTTCTTTGTGAGCCTTGATTTCCTCTACCTAAGTATCAGAAAACAATAAATATCAGTTAAAACGAAAGTGAAAAAACTGATCAATACCTTTTTGACAATGCCTTTAAACTTTCCTGCCTTCTGTTCGAGCAACTTTTCGCGGGCTTCTTGTGCCTTGGCCTGTTTTTCCTCCTGTTTCTTCAAAGTGTCATTCACTGATCGCTTTCGCGATGGTGACAGAAACTTCTCATTCAACTGAAGTGCTCTACCCGGCGTTCTGTTATCACCAGCCATGTTATTGTCAATCCGTGTCCATCCATTGGTAGCAGCCCCGTTTTCAGTGGCATTTTTGTGATAATTTCTTTCTGAATTGTTAATTTTCAACTGGGAAGCTTTGTGACGTTGCTTGTACCTCACAACCTGAAAACCATCTTCATCAAGATCGTACTTTGAAGAAAGGGTTATGGTGTTGAAGCTGTTGCATCGATTCAGTGAAGAATTCTTATCCGCAGAAGGAGAAAATGCCACTTGTGAAGTAGCTTTTGGAAGCTTAGCTTTGTTAGATACTGGTGTCATCTTTTCGTACGGAATGTTGATTGTGACCCTACACAAAAGGTTTTGCTTAAAATACTGTTCACATTTACAAAAACACTTACCTGGAGGACTGTTTCTGACNAGGTGAAAATGCCACTTGTGGAGTAGCTTTTGGAAGCTTAGCTTTGTTAGATACTGGTGTTCTTTTTTCGTGCGGAATGTTGATTGTGACCCTACACAAAAGGTTTTGCTTAAAATACTGTTCACATTTACAAAAACACTTACCTGGAGGACTGTTTCTGAAGCACAGTGGCTGTAGGGGAAATATTGGTCGCTGATGTTCCGTTCTGAAGTTTCCCCTGATTTTTGACTGGCTTTTCAGCGGGGGAAGTAGATTTTGAAACTGGAGTACTCTTTATGATAATCTTATCTGAATAGCTCTCTACCGGAGTAGGTGGCGTTGTATCGATCCTCTTAATTGCACTTCCACTATCACAATGGCGAGCTATCGAGAAGAGCAAACAAACGATTAGAAAAGAACAAAACAAACGCACGCAATACGAGTTTACTTTTGAGTAAATCATTGTCCAGGTAGTACTCCAAAAACGTCTTCTTGGACAGCCGTTTTTGCACTTCCCAGGAAACGGAATTCGGTCGTTGAGGTGTCGTCTCAAGGTTCTTATTCAGCTTGAACCATTCATGCAGCTTTTGGAATTTATTAACGTAATTCTCCAAGGTCAGTATGGCATCCTTGCACTGGTCAATGGAGCCGTCCTCCTCACAATTTTGAAAAATTTCGTCAATTATCCGGCTAAGGTGGTCAAAAAGGAAAGTCCAGTATCGGTAGTGGCGCTCATAGTCACGGGAACGACCTTTTTTATGAGAAGGAGAAAGTAAATAATAAATCACATGTGCGAGGGTTGAGGTAAACAAACCTAGCGATGCGGAGCGAGTTCGATTCCCCGATTCGAGCTTCATTTTCACACAGTGGATAGAATTTCGTTAGGCTGCCTGATAGTAATCAGTGGCTGATAAGAAGAGAACACGACGCTTCGAGTGGGCTTTGTTTATTTGTTGATGTGATTATTCGAGGCGCGCGCGCGTCGTTCGTAGAAAGGGTGTCCCCATTGATTCCGTTCCAGTGGAAGGGAATGAATGGGTAGTAGGAGTAATGCAAGGAAAGGTTGAGTGTAATAAAAACAGAAGAGAATGTTTTATTTCCCAAAAATTCTCTACAAGCGAGTAACAAGAGTTTAAAAAGAAAGGCAATAAAGAATCGGCTGATGTACATTTTGCAAATTAACTTTAGCGAAAATACTGTACAGCGGTGTACATTGGTAGGATGGTAAACAGAGAAGAGCGTTATATTACTGACAGATCTGTGTGGGCATTGCCGATTATGGCCTATGGAGTGCGAGGAAAGCATTTGGTGTGGATGTTGCGCGGTGTCCCTGTCCCACTACTGCTGCTGCTGTTGCCTAGTCGGCTGATGGCATGCACTTCAGTCGCTCAAAGGCGCCCTTCTCCAGGGCTTCGCGGTGGTCGGGATGGGCAATCTGAATGAGAGCGTGGGCTCTCTGCCGGTAGTTCTTTCCGAAGAGGTAGGCAATGCCGTACTCGGTGACGATGTAGTGAGCATGGGCTCGGGTGGTCACCACTCCGGCACCGGACTTCAAGGTGATGGCAATCTTTGACTCGCCCTTGTTCGTCACTGAGGGCATTGCGAGAATGGGCTTGCCGAGGCCATCCAGGCCCTTGGCGGCGCCGCGGAGAAAGTCCACCTGACCACCAAAACCTGAAACAGACAAAAAATGAGTTAGTCAATCACAACAGGTAGCCGAAGGCGAAAAAAGTGCGTACCTGAATAGACTCGGGTTCCAATGGAGTCAGAGCAGACCTGACCGAGGATGTCAACCTCAATGCAAGAGTTGACGGCGGTAACTTTGGGATTTTGGGCAATGTTGAACTCGTCATTGACGTAATCAATGCTCATCATGACAATGTAGGGGTTGTTGTTGACAAACTTGTACAGCTTGCTGGAGCCAATCAGGAAAGAGCCAGTCATTCGACCCGTCTGCAGCTTCTTGAAACGATTAGTGATGACACCTGTTGTAAAGGGAGTTGTTTAGGACTGATTTCAAGAAATTAAAAAGTAAAGCTTACCCAGGTTAAACAGGTCGACGACACCATCAGAGAACATCTCCGAGTGAATGCCCAGGTCCTTGTGGCCCTTGAGGAGGGAGAGGACAGCGTCGGGAATGGCGCCAATGCCCATCTGCATGGTGGCACCGTCGTCGACCAAGTTCTCGGCAATGTGCTTGCCAATCGCCTTCTCCACGTCGCTGAGGTCCTTCACCTTGTGATCCGGCAGGGGAATGTTTCCCTCCACAAGAGCGTCAAAGTGAGACTGGTGAATGACGGCGTGGCCAAAGGTGCGAGGCATATTGGCGTTCACCTGTCCGATGATGTACTTCGAGTTCATCACCGCGGCTCGAGCCACATCGACCGAGGTGCCCAGTGAGAGGAAGCCGTGCTCGTCGGCAGGCGACACAGAGATCATTGCAACGTCCGGCTTGATGATGCCACGGTTGAACAGGTGCGGAATTTCGCCCAAAAAGATGGGCGTAAAGTCAGCACGGCCCTCGTTGATGGCCACGCGGCTGTTGCCGCCGGTGAAGAGCGAGTTGGAGCGGAAGATGCCAGCATACTCGGGGTTGTTGTATTCACCTGCGCCTTCAGTGTGAATGTGGTGGATGCGAACGTCCTTCAGACTGGCCTTCTTTCCGTGCTCAGCCAGAGCAGGAACAAGAGCACGAGGAGTAGCTGCAGCGCCGTGAATGAACACATGATCGCCTAGTGTATGTGTGCGAGAGTGTTGAAGGAGAAAAAGGATAAATTAGACGTTTTGCGTGATTGGCGCTCGACAGACAGCGATGACTTTGATAAACTCGAGCGGACTTTGGGCAAATTAGCCACTTGGCAGGTTGGCTAACTCACACACACAAATTGGCCACTAAATGGTTGCATAATAATCAAGTAGCAGTGTCAGGGAAGAATGTGAAAGTGAAATGCAAGAAGCGAACAACACAAAGAAACATTGGCTTCGCGCTTTTAAGCGACAGCATGTACTTTGGCGAGAATGAACGGGGAATACGCTTTGTGACGTGTGTAAAGGAAGAGCGTTATTTTTAGAGTTCAAAATGTACTTTTGCAGTTAAAGTACCGTTCAGGCGACTTTCCTACTTGACGGCGACTGCATCAGGTCTACAGCACTACTCTTTTGGCTAGCATGCAGTTCAAATCAATTAAAGTACTAAAGACATTGCTGATGCTGATGGGGGCGATCGAGGAGACAATTGAGGAGACTGGCAAAACATGTGTACTTGGAAACGCGTGTGCCCCCCATTTTCACTTAAGGGATTAACACAATGGCACTGATTTATATAGTCTTTAGTCATTAGCGAGACTCGATTGATTTGATAATGCGGCGCGACTTTAGAGTCTAAAAAGTCATCCGCACTGGCAGCTGTTTGCATTGAGCTGCACTCGATTGATAGGCGCTGGAGATAATTTCCAAGGGGTTTGTTTATACTGCAGTTCAGAGTCTGTCTGTACTCGTGATGGAGCATGATCAGCTCATGCTTTCTAGGTTTTTCCGAAATTGTTTTAAGGGCAAAACAATAATATTAGGAGAAAAGTGCAGCCAATTTAAGTTTACGATTTGGAGGTCAAACAAGTTACGCGAAAGAATAGGATTAAAAGCATCGGTATTAAGCGCGGATTAGCCAATGTTAGAAAGTGCAACATCAAGAGACATAGGACATCAAAAGCACGACAGCTAGTAGACTGGCACACATTACCTGACTTCACCACGGACACGGCTTCAGCGGGAGACACCCACTTGGGAGTCCGGTCGGGAATCGGATGAGTGGGCTCGTTGTTGTAGGTGAAGTAGGTCCTGCTGGCGAGAACATTGGAGAGACTAGGGATCTGTCGGAGAGAGGTGATACTTCGCAGGAGTGCCATCGCGAGAAACCAGAAGATCAGAGGCAAACAGACTGAGCAAGTTGTTGTGGCTGTGGTGATGATGTGAACACCTCGCAGTTGGAGACGATACTAAATAATGAGAAGCTCACTCACTGTCTAGCTGGCTGGCTGCCTGGCAAAGCTGGTCAGACACTCTGATGACTTTGCCGGTACATTGAGACGACGTGTTCAGAAGACTGCAGCGCTGGCTGCCTTGTGCAGTGCTCCTGCAGTGACCGACTGGCCTAGTGGCGGCAGTTTCGAAAGCAGCTTCTTTTATCATTTCTCGCTTTCAATTAAAGGGCGCCAGAAAGGATGAAGTGATGGATGGCTGACGGCTTCCGAGTGAAAAGATTTAGAACTTTTATCTTTTCAGCACAGTTTTAGAACTTTGATTCAACCTCAACCGACAACAAAAGCTGATCACCCAAAACTCAAACATTCCCACTTGTGACACTCATTCCTATTGCACTTTACACTCTTTTTGTCTCGTCAACACTTTTACGATGCTTTCCACCTATGAAAAGTTGGGAAAAGAGGTGAAGGACTTGTTTGAGGAGCACTACAGTAAGCAGCCTGTTGTATACTATTCTCTAGAATACTATCCTTTCCGTTTACTCCTCATTTAGCCATCGGCCAGGTGAAGATCAATGTGAAGAACAAAATTGACAGTGATTTAGGTTTTGAATTCAATGGCCTGTGCAACACTGCCGATGAAAACAAGGTGACCTCGTCTCTGGAGACCAAGTACGACATGTCCGCCTATGGCTTTCAGACAAACGTCAAGTGGACCACCGACAGTGAACTCATATCGGAGTTTGTCATCAACGAGAGCAGCAACATTCTGCAGGGCCTCAAGCTGTCCTACCTGGCGAAAAACGCCGTCATCAGTGGCAAAAAGTCGGGCAGTATGAAGGCGGCAATGGAGAACGCCGGCTACAATGTCACTGCCAATCTCGAGTTTGAAGGTGATGCGCCGAAGATCAACGCCTCAGGCGTGTACAAGTGAGTTTTGGATAGAGCTTGTAGGTGGGTGATTGTACAACACTTTCGTTTATCTTCAGGTACAACGACTTGCTCTTCGGTCTGAATGGCCAGGTCGACGTGAAGGGGCACAAGTTCTCGAATCAAAGCGTGGCCGTGGGCTACGTTCAGGGCGACATGCAGGCGATCGCCAATGTGTAAGCACTGCTCGATTAGACACCGATTGTCCGCTTCTCACAACTTTCTTGACTGATTCTGTAGAAACCTAAACAAGGAGATCACTGCGAGCATCTGCAAAGGATCTCCCTCTGGGACGCAGCGAGGCGTGCAGGTGATCCTCCACGATGACCAGCCAAAGCTGACCTTTGCCATGCAGCAGTCACTGGACAGCAACTCGGCCATCAAGGCAAAGGTAAACAATGACGGTCAGGTGGGACTTGCCTACGTGTACCAGTACAAACCGGGCATCAAGCTCTCTATCTGCTCGCTTGTTGAAGCGAAGAACCTCTTCACCGGCGGCCACAAGATCGGTCTGGGCATGAACTTTGACGCCTAGCTTTTTTCTCTTTGTATCTTTTTCACTTTGTCCTGTTGGCATCACACAGCACTGTTTTCTCAAAATTGAGCGCCAGCTCTATTCGCTTTATTACTGTTCAAAGATTAGAGAATTTGCAAAAATGTAAACATGTTTATGCGATGTGTGAATGAGGAAAGGATCAAACTGGATTACAAAAAATACAGTAAAATGCTCTAGAAAAACAGCAAAATTTACTTGCAGCAGGATGAATAAGAAATGCAA